TTTGCTGTTATGTTAAACTTATATTGAAGTTTTTCTTCATTACCCATTCAAGCCATTACAAGTTATATGGATATCAAGTGCTTACATTTGTCTAAGGCGAAAAATGACAAATATATCTTCTAACATTCAAATTTGAGCTGTTTCTAAGCATTATTATCTTCTAACATTGTGTCATCTGATGCTGAAAATTATCTCAGTGATGTGTATGAAGAAATATGTATTGAGAAACTGAATAGCTCTAAAGGCAATGTTTACACTATTGACAGCATATAAAGTTTTTCTGAATCTTGTATTCAATAGGTTGCAGTTCATTGCTAAAAGAGAATGTCTGATGTCTAGTATGGTGGCATTGAATGAAAAAGGAAGTTTTCTAATGCCATATACAAGACTTCTGTACAACTAGGTTTCTTTTAGTATAAATATTGACTTTTGAAAGTCTAGGAAGCTGCCATCTTAAAATTAGCACCTGGATTAGTTTTGAAAGTGTAATATTTGGAATAGTTAATCCTCAAAACCTACAAATATATATTTAAAAATAGTTTCTGTTCCAAATTATCATGTTATTTGTTTCATGTCATTAAGTTTCAAAATAGCAGCCATAATATCCCATAATTTTTTTAGATTTATAAAGTCATAATGAACAAAGTGAAACCATAAAATCATGATAAATGAGCTTGAACTATAAAACCAAACGGAGTAAACTGTACTCAAGGGAAACTCTTGTCTTACTAAATACTTAACCTTTTTTTATTTTGAGGATGTTATTTACTATCTTGATGATAGAAGCAGTGTGGAATTGTTGTGCTTAGATCTTCAAAAAGTGACTTATAGACTCTAATATTTGGTCCATGCAGTGAATGTGCTGCAACCTTTATTACTTGATAAAATCTGCCCATGCAAATTTTGTGATATTTCCTCATAATCTATGCAATATTTGCTTGCTTGGTTTTCTCTATGTTTACTCCAGTCGTGTATGATAATATCCAAATAAATTCTTCTTTATATTAACCAAAATAGGCTTCAGAGGTATTATGTTAATTTTTCAACATGACTTTTTTTCCATGCATGAGATTTCATCCAACTAGATGATATCAGAAATTTCTCGACAAATTTTTGTCTCCTGGTACCAATTCCCTGGCTAAATTATGTTTTTCTTGTATATGTAACTAAATTTAGTTTTTGGTGTATCAGATTGAAACAGATGTTGGATATTTAAATCATTTCAACTTAAACATCTGCAGCTAATGAAATATTGTGTGTGTCAAGTAAAAGATGGTTATTATTCTAATAATTTTATTATGTTCTAGTATTTTCTCATTAATTTTGTTAACAATATTGTAATTTCTTATTGTTATTAAGGAGATACATATAATTT